CTGATGCCAGGAACCTGCCCAAGCCTGTTAAAGTAGCTCTCCGGACTAGGGATAAAATTGCCCAAAACCAGGAAGAGCTACTGAAATGGACTGCAGATCTTAATCCAGGACTCCATACAGAGAACTGGAGGGTGTTAGACAAGCAATCTGAGTCGAAAGGCCAAAGGCTTATACTACTCATAGACCGGGACTCCTATACTATTATACAGAGGACTGGTTATAAAATATTTACAGGACTCTCACAGGGGACTGTTAAGGTGCTGGACGATCCTGAAGTTTGGCGCCAGGCAGAACCCGTGACAGACACTGTATCTTCTATCTCAGTCTCTGAGGAGGAAGGGGATGATGTACCCAGCCCCTCAGATGACCGAAGTAAAATGGATCAGGGGACCTCTTCACATCCAAACACCAGATCAATTCAAAATTGGTCTGGGATTGCCACCAAATCCTCATGGAACTGGCCAAACATAACAGGGTACAACTTATATGGGTGCCAGGGCACGAGTGTATTGCTGGAAATGAAGCAGCAGACCAATTAGCTAAAACTGGAGCTGAACATCCGTTCATAGGACCTGAACCAGCCTGTGGCATCTCTCTTGAAGTTGCCAAACAGGCAATCAGGGACTGGACTAACATAAAACATAAGAAATACTGGGAATCCTTAACTGGACTCAGGCAAGCTAAGGGACTCATACGATGACCTTCTGATAAAAGAGCGAAGGAACTGTTGAAGCTCAACAGGAACCAGCTACAATGGGTGGTAGGACTACTTACAGGACACTGTCACCTCAAAGGACACCTGTTCAAACTGGGACTAAGTGATAGTCCCACTTGTGAGAGGTGTCGGATAGAAAATGAAACAGCCACACACGTCCTGTGTGAATGTGAGGCTTTAACTTCTTTAAGACGTCACTTGGGTCAGTACTTTATGGAACCAGGTGACTATTTTGACGCCCCCATGTCCAAAATTCTGCGCTTCATCCGAAGTGTGGGGTTGCTGAGGGAATAATTAAAAAGGGGAAGCACAATGAACCACTGAGGTCTAAGTGCAAGGGCCGAGTAGGCCTACCCCTTCATACATACATACATACATACAACCATTGTGAGAACTGAAAATCTAGCAAATAATGAATGCATTAACAATTCAAGTTAGAAACTTGACCAATATTGTTATTGTTGTTTACAGCTACTTCAGCAGTGGATGGGGTTTACATAGTTAATATCCACTCCCAAGCTGAAAATCTGAATGATCTGCAGTTTGATGACAAGGTACGGGAATCAGAATAAAACATAATAACACTTATGTAAGTTTAGACTAAAAAAAAAACTCTCCAAAAAACATTTGTTTATATAATAAATACAACATTTACGAAGGTAGGATTTTCCAGACCTTGGCATAGGGGTCAGTGATTAGCATCATAAGATGGTTAAGTTTACCCCTACCCCACCAAGGGTAAGAACATTGGTACACCAAAGAGGTTCATCCAGAGATAACGCTCTAGACTTGTATTTGGAAGCCTCAACTGGGTCACCTCATATCCTGACGACTTCCTTCAAAATTCTTTCCACTTCATCGTCCATCAATCCACCATCTGATATGGTGAATAGTGAAAGCGTCATTAACAACCCCCAAAAAATGATGAGTATGAGTTAACTACAGTACCATTTTAGACATGGTAATGAAGAGAAAATTCCCAGTCTCTAATACAGCTGGACTAACAACTGAGCCCTTTTAACAAAAACTAAACTAAGCAACTTTAACCTGACACAGGCAAACCTAACTTCTATGCGATCAAACACCATCCTGAACTGTGGGGTGGTGGCAGAACCCATAACATTATGTACACGTTAGCCCTCATGTTTTGAGTCCCAATGACTTCTGTGTTATTAAAATTGGTTGAAAGTTTGACTTGTCCTATATCATGTATAGTGAAATGGATATGAAGTAAATAAATAATAAATTAGGTGTGGTAGAATGTTTCCATTAAATCTAGTAACTTTAAGTAAAATCTTAATTCAGCAGCAGGTAGAATTGATGGATTCCATGGATCTTAATGTTTAGGGTGTGGAACAAGTTAATGTATTCAAATTTTGGTCTGGTAGAAGGCCACCAACGTTTCGGAGGAAAACGTTGCCACCATCTACTGGCTAGACATGAGTGAAGTGAGGATGTGGCTAGTTTTAAAACGGTGAAATGGATGGCGGTCTCTCACTGGAGAAGAGACTGAGCCCCGTCAGGACTTTAAACCACGGTTCGGATAAGCATGCCATGAAATTTCAAATCTGATACCCCACAGTTTGATTATATACCGCTGTGACAACTTTAAACTGTATACAACTCAGTGTATAATACACCACCTCTAATTAGTAGTTGCCTACACATACGTCTAAAAGTAATTTGTAACATACACACCATAACCACACACCACACAAGAATTCTACATACAGCACGAAACGAGTGTCGAAATTTTATTTCCCGTTGGTGAACATAATTCTTAACACTACTACTCCTTTCAGAGTTTTAAAACATTAATATATAAAGTCGTATTCTTAGCACTTACAGCTACGTTCCTATCATTTTGAGGTTATACTTCATGTTACTTAAGTGATAAACTAAGGGAGCCACGGATCACTACATTGAAATACACAGTTGAATTGCATAGAGTATAATATTCTGTAACCCGTGGTCATGCATGACCACGACAAAATTTATGTTTGGATAGGTTGGATTAAGGACGTTTCCTTCACCTGCAAGATATTCTGAATTTTTGCTTTAAGGAAGTGGATCAATGTTGCGACTTATAGATGTAATCAACCATGTATCCTAAACCAGGTCTGTCTTTCGTTTTTGTTGTTCGAATTACGCATGTAAAACTTGTGTTTTGTTACATTGGTAATGAACGCTCTCAGGGTGGCTTTGATTCAAACCGAAAAGCGCAATATTGGTGAAGTTTTCTGTAGAAGTTTACTCGTCGTTGATTGCAGGAAGTCACGAAATGCAGCGAACTGATATACAAAAAAGGATTGCTGCCTTGGTAAGAGAGAGCAAAAACTTAAATACATCAATCAGACAACTCAAGGAGAAACTTTCAGTAAGGCATAATTTACCACTCCAGCAGGCGGGAAGCGACGATTTTGATTCAAGGTAATATTAGCATAACCTGGTACATACTTGAAGTTTTTGACTTCATATAATGATCTATAGCCCCCTTATTAGTTAAGTTGCAGACCTACATTCTGCTTCTGATTATGTATGTATGTATTTATTTCGTCTCTATAGATCATTGTTACATGATATAGGACAAGTCAGGGTTTAACTGAAAGGTGCAGACAAACTTTGTGCCTGAATTCCACACACCACAGCAAGAAAAAATGCTCATAATAACATGTGTCCGGGAACATTTACTTAGTGAATTATGGTGAGAAAAGTATATTTATAATAATAAGTGTCCCAAATGGCTTCTATGAGATTTAATGCATGCCTCGACATGTCATCATAGACTGCCACTTCTGTTCAAAGATGCCAGGGTAGTTGAAGATAGTCTGACAGGAAACCACAATATGATGGCGAAGTACCTATTCATTGTCAGCAGGAGCTGAATATATAAGGGTTTTTAGTTGTCTCCACAGGTAAAAATCAAGAGGATTCAAATCTAATGATCATGGAGGCCATGCAGTGGATCCTCAGTCATGATAGGCAATGTTTGGAAAGTAAGGTGGTGATACACCATGACTTGAGCCCTTTCAGAACACACTTTGTTCAAGATTCCAACTGAATGCTAAGCAGTATGCACAGTTGCAAGATTCTGTTGGAAGTGCCCTTAGAGTTCATTTCAACTGTCAGTAACCTAAACAATAGCTGCTGTTTCTGTTTAACATATCTGTTAGGATTAGTCACATTTGTGTAAAACATGGGGCCAGTTATCCCTCTTCCGCCTAGAGCATACCACACAACTTTTCCTCATGTATAAAATGTGGATTTTCTGCATTTTGTTGTTTGTTATTCTTTTGTGTTCACATGCCCATTCAGACAAACCCAGGCCCTGTCTGAAAAAAAATGTCAATATGGGATAAAGTTCACTTTCCTGCATTCACTGAACATCAGTTTCGGAAAGTAAGTCTGGCTATGGGATCATTTGGCTGCAGATAGGTCATCATTGTGGTTTAGCAAGGCAGTAGTTTCAATAACTATGTAGCATATCTCTTATTCTCTTCTGATACCCCAGTTTCTTATGAAAGACAGTTAGGAGACAAGGTAAATATTCCAGCTGAGCTTCAGTTTCACCCAACTTTTCTTTTGTGAACTTACCCAACATTTATGGTTTGGTTTTATGTCTATTAATATGCCAGTTCTAACATTATTTACAAGATTCTGAAGCTGTCTTCCAGTTAAAGTTACAGCTAAATTGTATTCTCAAGCATGTTAGTGCATCATTTTGTTTATTTGCAGACTGTGCTGTATGTATCCAATTAGCATGATAATATTAATACTGTATTATAATCTTATTAACTTCTCAAGCCAAACTATTATTGTACATATATTATGATATACAGATATATATTTGTACTTGACTTGTTCCATATCCTATAGTGTTAACCTGTACTTAGATTTATGGTACGTAAATAAATTCAAATTTCACACAATATTCATACAAAAACATCAAGTTCTCTAGTGTAAACCTACCAATGTCTTAGACAAAGGAAATCCAGTATATATTACACTTGAATACAGTAAGAGAGTGTCCACATCCTCATATCATCACTGTTGACTCAGCAATTGTACATAGCGGAATAGCCATGCTTCGGCTTAGCCTGCAAATAATCATACCATATTACTGAAATAACCTGGTGGCTTTAATATTTAGATCCTTTTTGCATGTGTCTTTGTCTGATCTTCTAGAGCCTCTCATAGTGTTTCAAAAAGGACTGAAAATCCAAAACTCCTCATGAAGAAGCTTAAAATTTCTGAATGGATTAACAAAGTAGTTTACACAAATGATGAAATAAAACTCTTGGATGATGGCTCAAGTCAGTACATTGCTGATGCTGTAACAGGACCAGTTACTTTCCAAGTTCAGTTTGTTGTAGAAGATATCAAGGTATGTTCACATGTTTTAAAGTTGGTAATTTCACAAAACTATTGATTTCTAAATTACAAACTTATTATAGAATATGTCACACACATAAAGAAAGTTATCTTTAAAATCTTCAATTGATAAAGTGTTTCAAAGTCCTTAAACATTAAAATATAGCTTTTATGAGGCTATATATGTCTATATATCTCTGCTCTGACATAATAACAGTTTGATCTGTTGACAGAAGCAATAGTCTTACATTCACATAATTGCAGTAGGTATTATCAGCGTTAATTCTTGCTATAATGTTATTCTTGCTATTTTTCAGAATAAAGAAATGATTCTTCATTCATTGAAAATTAGGTATATTGATCCTTTCCATGAAGCTGAACTCAAGACTTTCAGTAACAGGTGTATGAGGCAAAACAGTTTTCAGAAACTTATCAGAGGTGTAGTAAGCTATGGGGAATTGTTTGCAAATAGAGAAGAAACTACAGACTGGCTTACTGAAAAAAATGGACATTTTACTGTTAATAAACACCATGAAGATGGAGCATATAATATCACTGCTAAGGCCGAAGGAAGAACAGTTTCATATTTCACTTGTGAATGGAAAATAATTTGGAATGAAGGATCATTAGCTATGATTCCATCTTTTACTATCCGAGCAAATAATAAAAGTAAGTTGGATGATCATAATTCTGATTCTTCTTCCACGAATGAATGGTGGTGGTCGTGATGATGATGTGGTTATCAGCTTGAAAGGTTCTTTATTATTATTCAGATATAAGTACTGTATTCTGCATTCTCATATACAGCAATCCCTTTTCAACTTTTGGGGTTACATTCTGGGGGGGAAAAAAAAACTCACTATTGACAAGAGTGAAAATGGGGGAGTAGGAGAACTTTGCTGCTGTTAACACCCATCAAACCCCAAGTTACTTGTACCAACACTAAAAGTACACCAAGTTTAAAAGCAGTAATATAAAAAGTATCAAAAGATACACAAATGATAATCTGGATGTAGTTGAGGTTAAACAGGAACCAGCTATGATGGGTGGTGGGACTACTTACAGGACACTGTCACTTTAAAGGACACCTCTTCAAACTGGGACTGAGGAATAGTCCCACTTGTGAGAGGTATCAAGAAGAAAATGAAACAGCCACACATATCCTGTGTGAATGTGAGGTCTTAGCTTATTTAAGATTATGTCACTTGGGTCAATACTTTGTGGAACCAAGTGGCTATTTTGAGCCCCCACGTACAAAATCCTGCGCTTCATTCGAAGCGCAGGATTGCTGAGGTGATGATCAAAAGGGGAAGCACAATAGACCACTGTAGATCATGGTGCAAGGGCCAAGAAGGCCCACCCCTTATACATTCATTCATTCATCTGGATGTAGAAGACTGGTTTCTGATGGCATGTGGATCTCTTGGTGTGGATGCCACCAATTTTTCTTTGTATTGTAATCAAAAATATCAAGCTCGAGATTTTGACAGATGTATACGTTTTCAGCCTCCCTGAATACAGAAAATAGTTTTCATATGCTGTTTGTATGATGGATGAATGTATACCTTGCTAGTACCAGAATAGTTGGATGGATTTTATTCATATTTTGATTACATTTCATTAATTTTGGAAAAGAGACTATGAGAACAGTACATATACCAGTACAACACAACTGTTATTAAAGCAATGATTTATCAGTTTTGAAGTATATATTGCACTGTTAGAAGTATCTGATCTGATATACTGCATGAAATTGTACAGTATTTGATGTATTGGGTCTTACAGACTGCCAAACCCTCATAAAAATGAAAAATACAGGAATAACAGTAATGCACATGCTGCCATGCTCTTCACTAAGTCAAAATTGACTGAAAGCTACTGAAGTGTTCAAGGCCATACCTAATAAAATGTTATAGAAATATTATAGCAGTGCTGTAGGCTGATACAAGTACTCCAGTTTGAGGGTTAAATTCAATATTAGCAAAGCCACATCTGTTGAGAGATCACTGTACGTAATAGTCCAGGGTAAGGTGAGAGAATTCTGAAAAATTTCAAAATAATTAATTGCATTGTGAATTACCTATTGTAGTCATAGTGAAAAGGAAAGTTCTGTTCTTCTCTTCCAGCATCATTAGAAGTTAATGTAGGTAAGAATAAAAAATTGTCCATGTTTCTTGGTACTGTAGCTGTTTGTATAAGTAAATGGTGATAGGTGGATTGATGAGATTAAAAATGGACTGGTTTCAAAGTAATCTATTTTCTCTGCTAAGATAAAACCAAGGAATTAATTGGATGGATGAGTTGGGCACCAGCATTTATTCAGAGGGGAGTAGACTGCAGAATAGAAGGTTGTTCCTTCATTACAGTTTGATTTATTGTGGCCTAGTTCAGGAAGAGACATGACTCATCTCTGGCTGACTTGGGTGACAAGGAGGGTACTCGGATGCAGAACCATTCACACACAAACAGCAGTGATAGATATGAGTTTTTCACGGCGGTGACTATGAAGAAAGCATCTTCGGGGATGTGGTGCCGTGTAGAAATTGTGTTAACCGACGTTTCGGAGGAACGTATCGCCTCCATCTTCAGGGTAGAAGACAAGAAGAAATTCATGAGCGAACCAGCAGAGCAGGTGCAATAGACTGAATCCAGTCGAGTAAACACAGCTGTATAAGAGAAGGAGAGGAGGCGTGTGGATACATAGGGAAATAGTAGAGAGGGGGAGGGGAATGGTCTGGTGGAATAGCCAGCAGGTAGTGGGCCAGAGCTGGTATAGAGTATGTGTTAGGGGAAGAGAAGGGAAGGTTAAAAGGGGGGCATTAACCCTGTAGCTCAGGGGCTGCAATGGACCTGAGTGGCCTATAGGGTCTGCCATATTTTGGAGGTTACCTGAGGGATCAGATGAAGAGGCTTCCTGGTGTCCTGGGACTAAGGACACTGGGTGTATACAGTATCCCATGCGAGTACGGCAAGGTTTATGGACACCGGGTATATACAGTATCCCATGCGAGTGCGGCAAGGTCTATACTGAGCAGACAGGCCGTTCTGTGGACACGAGGTTGAAGGAGCATCAGCGGCACATCCGTCGAACATCCAGACAAGTCAGCTGTTGCTGAACATAGCATCGATTTGGGACACCGCATTCAGCTTCAGAATATCTCCAGCCTCGCTACCAAGACCCGTTATATGGATCGCATCATTAAGGAGGCCATTGAGATTGAACTCCATCCCGACAATATGAACAGAGAGGTGGGGCTCTGTCTCAGCAAGTCATGGAACCTTCTTCATCTGTTCCCTCAGGTAACCTCCGAAATATGGCAGACCCTATAGGCCACTCAGGTCCATTGCAGCCCCTGAGCTACAGGGTTAATGCCCCCCTTTTAACCTTCCCTTCTCTCCCCCTAACACATACTCTGTACCAGCTCTAGCCCACTACCTGCTGGCTATTCCAACAGACCCTTCCCCTCCCTCTCTCTACTATTTCCCTATGTAGCCACACTCCTTCTCTCCTTCTCTTATACAGCTGTGTTTACTCGACTGGATTCAGTCTATTGCACCTGCTCTGCTGCTTCGCTCATGGATTTCTTCTTGTCTTCTACCCTGAAGATGGAGGTGATACATTCCTCCGAAACAACAATTAACACAATTTCTACACGGTGCCACATCCCAGAAGATGGCTTTCTTCAACAGTGGTATATAGTTTGCTGGAATTTTATTAGTAACTTCACTGATAGATGTACAAATTCACTGTAGTAATCAGATTAAGAGTATCACTTAATTTCAGCAGTTTACAGAGGCCTAATGGTTACAAGTGTTTATAATTTGAAATGTGGTTGGAGATACACTGGGCATGTGTCACTGGTGAGTGAATTTTTCAATGTTCCAGTCAGCATTTCTGAAGGTAGACATCTGCCCTGGTTTTACAAATTTCTGGCAAAGAGACATCCCCCTTTAGATTTTGATTGGCTGGACTGGACGAGCTGGGAGGCTGATTAATCTGCATCGCCCAATTATAAAAGAATAAAGTGGCTTGGGTGTTTGGGGTGAATTCAGCCACTGCTATGTATCTGTCAGTTAAAATTTGGGGGTAGCGTGGGTCCAGAAAGACCCAGCTTAAAGTATGACTAATGCACCAGTCAGTCTAGTATTTTGAAACCAATTAACTTGGATGGATTTACGGTTGTGCAGCTTGCTTGAAGCTTGGACTAAACTGCTCTCCTTATACCAAGAATGGGACCCATTCTCCCACAAAAAAAAAAAAAGTGAGATGAAAGAAATTTCAAAGAACCTAATCATACTAAATTAAAGGTGCCCCTGATTTGGACTGCTATAGTACTAAGTGGATTTCAAAACCTAATCATACTAAATTAAAGGTGCCCCTGATTTGGACTGCTATAGTACTAAGTGGATTTCAAGTGAAGCCACCAAATTTCTTCACAGATATATATTACATGCAAAAAAGGTGATACTTATGTATGTAAGGTAATAATAATGACATACATTTTATTATATTTTTTTTGTAGGTAATTTCTACAAAGAGAACGAGTACCACTTCGACAAAATTGTCTCATCTGGTATTACACAAGATGAGATAATAGAGTTATGGAAGGAACTTGCAAAGGCTGTAATAATTGAAAATGAGTTGGCAAGTCATGTAATTCAGAAAAATGTGCCATGAATTATTGCAAGTTATTATGAAGATGTGTCAGTGCAAATACAAACACTTTAAAAGACCACACAGTTTCAGAATTGGATACATGGTACAGTATGATAATTTTGTTAATTACAGTGAGAAGATACTTATGTTCCTACAATATGAGATGTTAGCTGTCGCATATGAGACTCCCAGTGTATGATTTAGAAGTCAGCAAAATAACAAAAAAGATTTATGACAAAAGGAACTCAAAGTTACTTCTTACCTTCATTGTAAATAAACTTCTACTAGAGTAGATTCATTCTTTGCAGTATACATTGAACTAAACATCTTTATATATTTAAATTTTGTTTACATCTTGAGTTTCTCTTGCAAAAACTTCTTTACAGAATTTCAACACAGGTAACATTGACAAATTACTACCTCTTAATTAATGGGCTTTGTATTGTAAAAAGTTGTGGCATTGGGACTGCTGTTCTGGTAAAAGTACAGATATCCCTGTAACAGGCCGTGAAGGCCCATAGGGTTGTGAGATGTTGATGTTCCCACATTTTCTACACAATCAGCTCACAGATGGCGGTAAGGTTGTCAGCCCTGCGCACCGGCCGCCCTTTACCCCCAATAATATTTCTGGTACTCATTTCTGTTAGAGGCTGAGTCGACCCCAGGGCCATAGTGCAGCTGGAACGATTAGGTAAATTGGAAAAAATCCAATGACCTCATCGGGATTTGATCCCATGACCTTCCGGCTTGTAGCATAGTGCCCCCTTCTATACTGGGTAATAAGATAAATGCTTATGTTACCATGGCACATTCTTTAGTTTCAGGTGGAGGGTAACTCCAAATATATTGAATGACAAGTCATAAGACAGCCAAGAAAAGATGGTCCTACAGATTTAAGGTTGCATTTTATAAAGCATGGGAAAGATTACTAATGCATACAAAATTTTAGCAAGAAAGCTTGAAGGGAAGAGGCCACTAGGGTGATGTAGGTACTACTTCAATCAGAACATATACTTCACTTTACCTTTTAACAGAGTGCCTTTTAAAAACCATTTCATGTGAAAGTGCAATTTACTGTATATATCTAGCCAGCAGAGGATGATACATGCGCATCTTCTACAGCTCCCGCACTAAAGGAAGAAGTATACAGTATTCTGTTTTCACATTAACTTCTTTTCTTGTGTGATATGAGAGGAGAAAGGGAAGGAAATTTGGCCTGATACACACTCCAAACGTATGCCAGGTGTTTTGTGCAGATTATAATGCTCGTTTATTTCAAACAAGTAAAAAAAAAAGCACCTTTAAAACTCATCTTTATTACAAACTTATATAAAACTACTCTAACAGAACTTAGTACAATGCACTTAATTCAAGTAGATCTTAATCTGAGACTTCATAGAAAGTGTCATGTTTCTGTTCAAGAATGTAATACTAAGGCATTGAACACATTTTACACAATATGAAATACAATAATGTCACTGATCAGTTTATGGAATTTTGGCATACGATACTTATCACAGACATAAGAGTGTGCATATATATATATATATGACACACAAAAGAATTGCCTAGAAAAAAAATTCTCATGACCAGAGACAAAAGAATGCTTAATGCTTTAAATTTGTTTAATTGAAACTAAATTCAGTTTTGAATACACTTTACAAAAATTGTCAACTTCCTCAGAGTACTACTTTGGTGAACACTGTTTCTCTGTTTTTTCTTTTTAATGTAGCTTTATTCATGTTCCATTGAAATATAAATTTCTGCTTCTCACATATCAACACATTTTAGATGCATGTAATAGCCACCACATTCATATCTATACAATAAAGAGGTGGTAAGGCTGCAACTAATCACAGGAACTTGAGAGACATATATTTCCACTAAATGTAAAAAATGATGTAATGCAGATGAAAGGAAGATACTAAAAAATATGAAAAATCTCAACAGACAATGTTTTTGTATTTGTGAGCACTAAAACTAAAATAAGCAAGCATTACACAAAATAAATGCAACAGCAGCCATCTAAAAATAGGACATAGAAAATGGTGATACACTGAAGTTCTGAACACACAATTTACTGGAAGTGAGGATTATAAGGAGCCTGTTTAGAATACACTTCACCAGCTGTAGCTTCACTGTATGGTGGTGGCTGCTGACCTACAAAGTCATAAAAAGAAATGCTTGATGTAAATATTTGCCTTTACTCAATGGCCAATTTTCTGAATATAAGTAATATTAATCCTACCCTGTGAACTCCATTCATATTGAGACATATAACGTGAAACAGTATGTTACCTGTTTGTGCTGAGTACAATGGATAGGCTGCTGTTTGTGAGTAACCTGCCATTTGTGTGGGCTGGGGTGGATATACAGGTGCTTGCTGTTGAACTGTCTGTGGAGTAGCCACAACAGTCTGCACTCCTGGTTGAAGGACAGCTTCATAAAATAGGCATATTTGCAAAAATAATCAAAAAAAGCAAAACAAGGCTAAATTCTTAAAAATACCTGCTAACATAAACAAAACATAGGTCTGTTCTCTATTCAACTCACTTCAATACACACACCATTTTAAGTTGGTGGCACTCACTAGAAATACAGATATACACAGTAACTGATATCACTGTCCTAGGTCAGGCCACAAGTTGTGTGTTTACATTAAAAGAGACCCAATGTTAATACAGAGTGTAATTATTCTGTCAAAAATAGAATCAGGAGAAGAAAAGAAGTGATCGCATGTGGTAGCGTAGTGGGTTCATGTACTATGCTACAAGCTGGAAGGTTGCGGGTTTGATTCCCCATGAGGTCATTGGATTTTTCAATTGACCTAATCCATCCAGCTGCACTAACAGAAATGATTACCAGGGATCTTCCTAAGGGTAAAGGGTGGCTGGCGCATAAGGCTGACAACTTTACTGCCATCTGTCTAGAAAATGTGGCAGCCTTGACGTCACACAACTCTATGGGTCTCCAGGGCCTGTTAGAGGAGGGATAGCTTTACCCCCCCCCTTTTTTTTTTACAAATAACAATACTAGCAATGAAGCTGACAATGGTTGTACT